GGGGTATTTATTAGAGACGCCCGGAGAACCAAAATTTGGGACGTGCAATCTGCTCAGGCGAATAAAAATCGGCGAAAATGGCCAAGGGGGTGATGGACTGCATTTCAAAAACATATTTTATATATAGGGTATGTAATTAAAGTACCATAGTCAGCGCATGGCATCATGTTCAACATAGGTCTCTTGCGATGATTAAAATGCATCTAAAATATATTGTTTGTTTACACAAAACTTGTATGTGCACTTCCACTTTCATTAATCACAAGTACTAGTATTTGATGATTGGTCTATGTACATGTATGTAGTTTTCAAACAGAATTGCTTTTTACAAACCGACAACGGCACCGAGTTTAAAATTATCATCACCTAAGAACTAAGTTCTACCTGGGAGTAATATGTTATAATTTTAAAACATTTATTTTGAAAATGTTTCTCTTGGATGATACTTTAGATTCATCTGCGCACATTCCTACCATCCCATAATTTCCCAATTTCACCAACTAAACATCTCAGACAGCAACTTTTATAGCGAGATCATTTTCTTACCATATTCGTCCAATATCGCCCTGTTAACCTCTGAACTGTAACCTCTATCTTGAACCTTGTCTTTCCTTCTGCCATCGACTTCTTCATTGATTATGACCATTTCACTCATTCCAGTGTCATCACTAGTCAGATATGCATGACGTAAATGCGATATGATAAACGCCGGGTCGTCAATAAGCGCCATTGCAAAAATGAGAACCAATGACAACTAAAGTCAGTCAGTCAGTAAGAACTGAGGTCACGCAGATTCGATCAGCTGGTGGATATTTTTCTAATTATATCCTACTATCGGCATTTAACTCCGACATCAGTAAACATCCATGTGTGTTATCAGTGTTCTCGCGGTTCATAGACTGTGTGATGCCGAGAACACGCTTTTTCAATACGAGAATGTAGACAGGCGAAATCAACATTCAATAACATTGGTCCGCCATCTTTACGATTGAACATGTCTCCCCATCGTCTTGTAATTGAACAATATGGCTGCCTCAGTAAATGTAACGATCGCCCACCAATCCGGAATCCGGACATCAAGAATTGGGAACGGGCAAAGAAATGTTGGCTGGAATAAAAAAAATAGTCGTCATTTTTTGTAACGTGTGAGTATCAAGTTTATTGAGCAAACTAATAAAACAACACAGTACATTATGGTAGACAAGGAAACCTTCTAATGAATAATAAAATAAAACGGTTCATAAATTTCCCAATCATAAATTATTTCTTACTCTCTTTTACATGTAAAATACATTATCTGTCAAAAAATAACACAGTCACGTGATAACTGGAACACATACGCCCCAAAATACAACAGTGTCTTTGTAAAATACGATTTACGTGTAAAGTTTGGTAGAAAGGTTTATTATCACGATCATCGTCGTATTTAGTTGGCCATAATCATTGCGTAGCAAATACACGATTCTCAGGTTATTTAAATGAAGTAAATTATTGAGAAATCACATCCACGTTGTTTTATCTACCATTTCACAAAATTATTAATCTTTCAATATAATTTTAATATAGTTGTATTCATAATTTACAACTGTCACTCAATAATCGGCCTTCCAATGATGACAGTTTTTGAGACTTGAAAATATGAAGAAATGATTCAGTAATAAAATTCTACCAATAACTTAGAGTTCAGGTAGATTCACACTGCCCGCACCACGGACACATTAATTATCTTTTACATGCAATGATTTATATTTATTTGCTTTGTTATATCTGTCGACAAAATAAATAAAATACAACAGAGCGCCGACTTGCGATTTATTTCATCACTCTTTTAATTTGGAGTTCACAGAAGCATGTGCGTACTAGAGAAATGTGTGCCTTGTATTGGGACAGCAGTGAAATCTGGATATACGCTTTGGTCAAAATCTAACGTGAAAAAAAAAAAATACTCTTACCAGGCTGTGTATGTTATAATTTAACAGGGATGAACTGCGTTTTATATAGCTTACTCTATCAACATCATAAAAGGGGTTTAATGAGTTGTCATGGCAACTGTCAATCAAATGAAAGGGTGGAGCTTATTGGCTTGGAAGCTGACACGTCCGTTCATTTGAGTGGCATAGTGGCGAGACGTCAAGCTGTGTTCAACCCACCCTCCATCAAAATACAGAATAAAAACACTTCAATTTTACCAACTTTACTACACAGTATACAGACTATAAAAGGCCCTGACGGCCATCGAGCGGGCGGATTTGAAGTGACTACGGAGCTCTGGTGGAGTATTTTGCAAGCAATCAGGGAAAGTGGAAGGGAGATTTCTGTGCGAGTTGATGGAGGAAACACAAAGACATATGCAATCACTGGCAAATGCTACGATGGCTCAAGTTGGACAGAGCGTTGTACACCCCGGCATCATGTCCGCTCCTCACATGCCAACAGCTACAGATCAACAGCAACAAGGACCTGAACAGGAGACGCGAAAACAAGAAATCGGTGACATCCTGCAACAGATCATGACCATTACCGACCAGAGCCTTGACGAAGCGCAGGCAAGGTACGAGTAAGTGTGCATTTGAACAAGATCTTCGAAATTACTTGAGTTTGTTGATAATTCTGCAGTGCAGGCACGCCGAGATGTCGAATTGCAAAAACCCGACGGTCCTTAATGCAATTTCTCTCTTTCTGTCCACAGAAAGCACGCTCTAAACTGTCACCGAATGAAGCCAGCGTTATTTAGTGTGCTATGCGAAATCAAAGAGAAAACAGGTAAGTGTTTTTACTCTGTTTTGGTTGTAGTAGTGCAGCTGATTTCACGTTGTGCTCCATTGGCAGCCGCCATGTTGGTTTCAGTCCTGTTTTCAAACCGTTCCCTCCAAATTATTGAAATAAAGTTTTACTACAATGAGGCAGTCAATCATATATATTGTATATTAAATATTGTTTAGATAGTTCTCCCTAATGAAAGCGGGCCATGAATAATCCCTGAATTGGCAGGGAACGATGGATTGCGGTGGGGGAAGTTCCCTATAAATTTTGTCATGAATGATCGCCGCGCTTGTCAGAGTGTGTAACAAGCGACGCGATCATGTCAGGACTGTGTCGTTTGTTTCTGCCTGTCGATATCCATTCACTTTCATTGACAAGGTAGTCCCTAACAGAGACAGGCCTGTCATGTTTTTCATCCTGAATACCCGTGCTCGTGTGTCTCAACTGATATAACTTGTCAGGCCAGCGGGCATTTCAGTACAGACAAATGATTACATATTTATTGTACCATCGATTTCTTCGATATTCGAAAAACGCCGTGCTTGGGACCCCGGCTCTGCTCTGCGCTGTGAAACCATGCCGAGCGAACAGACCGTTCTTTATGCAGCTATGATCGGTGTAGTCACAGTAATAAAACATGGATGTTACTTGACCAATATGTCGTTGGAGGAACATATCGATACGAATACACGAATTTGCAGTTTCCGACCCAGTTGGGCTGAAAGTTGTCGCCGTTCTGTCTGCTTGGCCGGCATTGCTGGCGGTCGTACTCGGCACCTGTGATACCGGATGGATTGCCGACTACGCTTCGTCATTGTGTACATTTTGGATTTTCTATTAGCTTTCAAGATATGTGTTCAATTTGGTTTTAGAACAGTCTGTTTTGTTTTTCGCAAAACGTGACAAAGTTGCTTTATCTGCTTGAATCCTGCATCAAAGAAAAAAAAAACCAAAGAAACTTTAGCGTGAATGAAAAAGGCAAATAATTGTTACTGCACATTTAAGTTGCTAGGAAGAGAAGCCATGCAACTGTCTGTGTGCAGATCCCATGTGCATTGGAATTAATACTGTACATGTCTAATGTTAAAACTGTAATGTCCCAGACTGAAAATTACTAAACTCAGTTTCTGAATCACAGATAGTTTTTAGGTTATCTGTATGCTTGGAATGTCCGACCACTGTCAGTTTGAACTTTTTGAAATTACTGATGAAACCAACAATCAATCAACATCAGAGTGCTAAACAAAAAGTCAACCAGTTTGCAGGGTCAGCAAACGAGACATGCAAGGTTTTCCACTGTGGAGATGAGATATATATATATAAACAAAATTTAAACTTTTATCATGCTTTTCTCAAGGTGTATATTTGGAAGTGTGAAAATTTTGGAAATTTCCCGAATTAGGAAGAGATTTTGTGTGAATGTTTGCCAGGACACACTCAACACGATAGTCCAATGATGGTAAAAAGATTGTCTGAATGATTTTAATAGCAGCGTTTCAACCATAATACAAGTTTCAACCATAATTCTCTGCTGAAGGATGGCAGCAACCCGATCAGTGTGGGTATATATTTTAGGCTCAGTTTACAAGGAATTCTAATTAATGTCCATTTATCTCTGCCATCAAAGTTAAGTTCAGAATAACCTTCTGGGTGAAGATGTTTTTTTCTCACTCATAGTCCAGATAAGGATAAGCAATAGATCCCAAACACCGATAACACTGCGAGGTTTTCTTCTTTTTTTCTCCACAAAGAAAACAGTTTTTGTTGTTGTTCTTGCATATTTGATGTAAGGACTGTCCTTGTGGGAACAATCCAGTTTTAAAATAGTTTACTTTGTGTTGCTGACTGATTTATGATGATTATTTTGAACTTGAATCACTATTGTGCTAATTCCACTTCAAGAGAACTTGTTGAGACTGTATGGCCATATGTTATTTGAGCCAATGAGAATATAGTGGAGTGTCTAAGGCCCCGTGTCACACTGGTCTAACAGATTTATACAACTCTATGTGTACCATGAAATATTTGTTAAAACAGACATTAATTTCTGCAATCCACTCCATGCAGTTTAGCTTTAATTATCCAACAGAAGTTTTAAGACAATGAAGTTCTGTTTTCTGACTGTGTAAAAGTTGCTGCCAGATGGAAACACAAGGTCATACATGCAGGCAAATGTGAATTCTTTTTAATTTGCATCTCAATTTAGTTTTTTTTTTGAATTGAACTTTGTTACCTGTACCTTCATTAGATGCCGGAATTGACCAAGCTAATATACA